CGGCCTTCTCGCGCGCCCGCTCGGAGAGGCGCAGGGCCTTGATCTCCGCCTGCGCGTCGCCGAGCTCCTTCTCCTTGTCTGCAAGCAAGCAAGCACCAAATCCAATCCGTTGAGGTGGAAAGGCGGAATCTTGCTCCGGGCGGCGAGGAGGGAGGGAGGGAGATCCGATCTGGAGGGCAGATCGGATCGGCAATGGAGCTTACAGTGGAGGTCGTTCTCGAGGCGGGTGAGCTCGACGCGGACGGGATCGGAGCCGTGGAGCAGGCTGATGAGGTCCTCCATCTCCAGCGCCGGCTTCAGCCTGGGCCGCTGCTGCTGCGCCGGCGGCTGCTGCTGGTGCTGATGACTCCTCAGCGCCCGGCCGTCGCCGTACGGATCGGCCATGCCCGGCGGCGATCCCAACCGCAACCACGCCACCAATGCGCTGCCTGTGCTTGTGGGGGGCGGTCAGACTCAGAGAGAAGAGAGGAGAGAGTGTGTTAATGGCGGTCAGGTCACATGAATAACAGTGTGCGTGTGCGTGTGTGATGGAGCAAAGGAGGGAGAGGAGAGGGTGGTCATTTGCATTTGCAGCCCCGGTCCACGCATCGCACCGCATGTTACCGCCATGTGATCATTCATTCATTCATTCATTCACTCCCTCACTCATGGACTTGCATTTGGGGGCTTTTCTTTTCTTTTCCTTTCTTTTCCGGTACACAAAACACACACACAAAAAAAGGTTTTCCCTTTTTTTTTTGGCGGTCGTCGAACCGCACAACTTTTAAGAGGTGTTTTCTCAAAGGGTTAATTCGTTTGATATATGTCGTCGTCGATTCCACGCGTCCAAGAAGCGCCGCCGCAAGCGAAAGACGTCCAAAAAGAAACCGGTTCCATTTCTTTCTACATAGGCGAAGCCCTTGCCGGCTTCTCGAAACAGGAAACAAACACCGACGAAGCATGCGTACTGTTGGGGACATGAATGATATTAGCTTTGTCGTTGTCGATGGTTGCTACCATCGGTCGATGTCTGATCTAATTCAACCTTGTGTGAGTCGAGTCGAGGTTCTCTTCTCTCTGCGTATGCATGGGGCAGTGGGTCATACACGTCACTTGTCGTTTTTTTACTTTTGGGTGAGACTTTGGGTCCTAGACCATCGGGTCCTCAGGGATCAGGGTTTCCTCTCAGGATCCCCCGACTCCCTGGTGTGCGTTGGGTTTTAATTGCTAAAACAGGGAGGAGGGTAAAGTACTCGCCTTTATTCTAACATCAACTATAATCTTTCATATGAACTTTCATCGGTGCCAACTCCTAAAAGCTTGATTCATCTTGACTCATCCACTCAAACAATAACAAACTTCGAGGAATGAAAGATAATCGCTTAATCTACATTTTCGCCAAACCAATTCATGATCCTCATACTTGTTCTTTAACAAATTTGTTACTCTTGGGGATTGGGACTCCTGGGAGATAAGAGTCAAGCCTGGAAGCTTCCTTGTGTATAGTGTGCTTCCGGAAGTTTGTAAAAGGTTCGGTGGTTGCTTTTAGGGCCCATTTAGATAGTGTCCACACTGAATTATGCCTGGCCGGAAGTTTGTCTGAAAGGTGCCTGAGGAGTGTTTGGTTACTATCCTGAAAAAGTAATAGTTTACCTGGGCTGGTGGCATCACAATTTGATTAGCCTGGAGTGTGACCCAGAAAATTTGCTTAGCCTAGGCCAGGCTTTCTGGATAGGATGCCTGGGTAGCTGCCTGGTGCTAGTGAGCCGCTGTTTTCAAGCACTTTTGTTGTTAGGGCCCTTCAATGATTGGCAGTGTATTATTTTAATGCTACACCAGGCCAAGTCATGAACAAAACACGTGTACACCATGCTAGACTCATGAAGCAAAAAACAATGAAGTGCCAAGCTCAAACTAGGCAGTCTCTTTTCCCATGCACGAAGCCGAGGTCACCAACCCAAACAGACCCTTAAGGCAACCACAAGTGATTTGAGACTCATCCGTTAGGGTGACTCAAAAGGTAGAAAAGGGCGAGCAACTTGGTGGCGTTCAAAAGATTTAACTTCGCACCTCTCTAATAGAGATTAGCACTCCCCCGGGAGTGTGAACTTCAGGATACATCCTCGTCTCCAACTTGTGTGGTCAATCCATTTTCCTACTGATGTTGCTTGAAGCTACGTCGGTATTTCCCCAAAGAGGAAGGGATGATGCAGCACAAAGACGGTAGGTATTTCCCTCAGATATGAAACCAAGGTTATCGAACCAGTAGGAGAACCAAGCAACACAACGTAAACAAACCCTGCACACAAATAACAACACCTCGCAACCCGACGTGTTAAAGGGGCTGTCAATCCCTTTCGGGGTACGGTGCCATAAATTGCATGTTGACGGAGAAAATTGTAATAGATTGAATAAATAGATCGCAAATAAAGTAAAGTGCAACAAGGTATTTTTGTATTTTTTGTTTTAATAGATCTAAATAAAAAGAGCAAATAAAATAGATCGCAAAGCAAATATAAGAAAGAAGACCCGGGGGCTGTAGGTTTCACTAGTGGCTTCTCTTGAGAAAGATAGCAAACGGTGGGTAAACAAATTGCTGTTGGGCAATTGATAGAACTTCAAATAATTATGACGATATCCAGGCAATGATCATTACATAGGCATCACGTCCAAGATTAGTAGACCGACTCCTGCCTGCATCTACTACTATTACTCCACACATCGACCGCTATCCAGCATGCATCTAGTGTATTAAGTTAATGGAGAAACAGAGTAATGCAATAAGAACGATGACATGATGTAGACAAGATATATCTGTGTAGAGATAGACCCCATCATTTTATCCTTAGTAGCAACGATACATACATGTCGTTTCCCTTTCTGTCACCGGGATCAAGCACCCTAAGATCGAACCCACTAAAAGCACATCTTCTCGTTGCAAGATAAATAGATCAAGTTGGCCAAACAAAACTCAAATATCGGAGAAGAAATATGAGGCTATAAGAGATCATGCATATAAGAGATCAAAGAAACTCAAATAACTTTCATGGATATAAAAAGATATAACTAATCATAAACTCAATGTTGATCAGATCCCAACAAACACACTGCAAAAAGAGTTACATCATATGGATCTCCAAGAGACCATTGTATTGAGAATTCAGCGAGAGAGAGAAAGCCATCTAGCTACCAACTACGGACCCGAATGTCTACAAAGAACTACTGTGACGCCCCCGATTCGACCGTACACTAATCATACACGCAAATGTGTATGATCAAGATCAGGGACTCACGGGAAGATATCACAATACAACCCTAGACACAAATTGAAATAATACAAGCTTTATATTACAAGCCAGGGGCCTCGAGGGCTCGAATACATAGCTTGATACACAAGAGTCAGCAGAAGCAGCAATATCTTAGTACAGACATAAGTTAGACAAGACTGCCTTAAGAAGACAAACACAAAACAAGAACGATCGAAGAGGCAAGGCCTCCTGCCTGGGACCTCCTAACTACTCCTGGTCTTCGGCGGTCTCCACGTAGTAGTATCCGTCAATGGTGGCATCTAGCTCCAAGGATCCACCATCTGGTTGCATCAACCGGAAAGAAGAAGGAAGGGAAAAAAGGGGTAGCAAAGCAACCATGAGTACTCATCCAAAGTACTCGCAAGCATCAGATCTATACTATGTATGCATTGGTATCAAATGGAAGGGTTGTATCTGTGGACTGAACTGTAGAATGCCAGAATAGGGGGGAAGGCCTAGCCTATCGAAGACTAGCATCTTCAAGCAGCTCCGAGCATCTTGCAGCATGTAGAAGAGTAAAGAATAGCAGTTTATAATTAACAAGCATGATGTAACAATAACGCCCAGAGATCCTTTCTCGACTCCCTGCGAGAAAGCAATCCCGGAGCCACATATCTTAAATATCCATTTCTAGTTGTATTAGATCAAGATATAAGTCTGAACGTCCATTACCGTGGACACGGTATTCGAATAAAGATCTTCCCTACAGGGGTGCACCACGTTTTCCAACACGCTCGATCACTCTGGCCGTACACACCTTTCTGGGGTCAATGCCCGGCCTCGGAAGATCAACACGTCGTAGCCCTTCCTAGGCTCAACAGAGAGGTCCCCGCTGGTCTACATCCTAAGCACTCCGGGGTCTGGGCCTATCGCCCGCAGCACTCCGAGTCGTTACGTGCAGGGAAGACCTAGGCACCACCTCTAGGGTGCCGGCCCAGCCGTGCCGCAATGCTGAACTGGACGTCTGACAAAGCTTCGACTGATATTGCGACATCGAGGCCCATAACTATTCTCGTGTGGTGGTTAGTGCGTAAAGGCCAAAGGCCAACTCAGAACAAATACCCAAACCATAGTGTATTATTAGCTTGCGGAGACGAGCACAGACTCACGATAATGTGACCCCGTCGCCTCGTCTCGAGGAAATACGGCAAGGGCAAGCCCAGCCCACTCGAGGGTTGCCTGACTTCCCGGCCGTGCCTCGTAAATATCTTGAGGGTGCTCTCTGGGCCCGCCCGACTTTCCCAAAGGTCTCAAGTAATGTTAAGGTAACCGTGTGTCCAAACATCAAGGGGAAAACCCGAGGAATCACCCCCGGAGGATTCCACTCAATGTAATCATCAAGGTGAACGTAAGAGGGACCAACCTCGAGGTTCACACTTGAGGTGTTGAACGACAGAGCCGTATCGGGAATGGTCAAAGAGGAAATCACCCTCGATGACCACGACCGAATAGCTACACTACAAAATTATCATCAGGAGTGCGTTATGAGGGATCACCCTCGGCACTCGATAGTAGCTCTGCAGAGTCGAGCAACAAAAGGGGCGTGATGTGATGTGCGGTGTCGGGCTCTGGTCGTCGATCATGTAGCTCGAGTCGTCGATGATGAAGCAGGGGCAATAAGGACAAGGTGGAGGTCACTGATGGATCACTATCCAACCTATACTAAGCAGTTTAGGATAAGCAGGTAAGGTACAAAAGCAGGCTATACATCAGAATAGGAGCAACCAATAACAGTAGCAAAATCTAATGCAAGCATGAGAGAATGGAATGGGCAATATCGGGATGATCAAAAGGGGGGGCTTGCCTGGTTGCTCAGATAAGAAGGGGTCGTCGTCGACGTAGTCGATCACAGCGGCATCAGCGGCAGTCTCGGGGTCTACCGGAGAGAAGAGGGGGAAGAAACAGTAAATACAAGCATACACTTGCAACACTAAGCATGACATGACGATACGCGATGTTAGGCGTGTTCTAACGCGGCATTACATGATACCGGCGAAGGGGGATAACATCCGGGAAGGTTTTCCCGAAGTTTGGCATTTTCGGACAGATGAAACGGAGGGGAAAGTTGCATATTCTCCATGCTAGGGATATGTGGCG